CGATTTTTATATATGATTTGATATTTTAACTTTTATCGAAACTATTTGCTCAGTATTTTTTTACATATTTTACAAATATTTTAAGGTATCCGACTACGTTCGGAACAGTGATTTTAAAAAGGCGCATAAATGGATAATTTTCTTGATATTTAGAGTCACTTAAATTAGAATATATATATAAAATTATTTTAAGGACATTTTGACAAAAAAAAAGTTATTTAAATACAATATTTCGGCTAAAATTAACTTGGGAATAACCTTTTCAAAATGTTCTCCTTTGAGAAAAATGCTCTATTATAATAATATTTTGCCTGTATATAGCTCAGACCTCTGTACAGAGGCTCAACTATGATTTTTGAAAAATTCACATTTTCAGAGTTACAACAATTTGAAATAATTATCGGCGTTTTTTCTTAAAAATTCTCCCCTCTGTTGTCGTAAAACACGGATAAACCCACTTCTAAGTTATATATTTCAAAAATTCTAGTTGAGCCTCTGTACAGAGGTCTGAGCTATAGACAAGCAAAATATTATTATAATAGAAGCATTTTTCACAAAAGGAGAACATTTGAAAAAGGTTATTCTAAGTTAATTTTTAGCTAAATATTGTACTTAAATAATTTTTTATTGCAATACTATTCTTAAAACAATTTTATATATATTTTCTAATCTAATTGACACTAAATTTCATAAATGTTATCCATTTATACGCTTTTGCAAAATCACGGTTCTGAACGTAGTCGGATACCTTAATATTTTAACATATGTTTGGTGCATTATAGCCAGATTTGGCTCTTGCGCCAGAATCCACATTCACTCACTCACTCACTTGTCGTCGCACTCAAAAGCAACATAGAGGCTATTGTCCACGGACTTCGTAATTTTGAACCATGGGCAAGTGAGATGGACGACGCACTTCAGGTAACTTTCCACTCTCCAAACTTCTCCACCATACCACGTGATAACTTTAATTTTCGACAGATTTAGCTTTTACACATCGGTTTTCTTAGTGGCAGCATATCTCGAAAGAAATAACGCCGGACACGAGTACCTCAACCACAGAAGTGGGAGAGATTCAAAACGACAATTTATAAAGAAAACGAATGAAATTTTCTAAACATCAATGAGTCGATAAGTAAATTAACTGCAACAAACTTCCCATTCATATATTTGTAGTAAATACAGAAATACCCAAAAATTGGGTGATAGGAGGGACTGAGTGATAATCGCGTAAGTCGGTGTATGATTTCGCATAAATTATTTTTAGTTAGGCCCTTAGACCAGTGCTTCTCAAACTTTCAGTATTTGCGACCCAATTTTCAGTCATAATTTTCATCGTGCCCCCCTTATAAATAATGTATTGAAAGCAATAATAATGTGTACTTTGACTCTAAAACTGCAATACGACTTTAATTATAAACCGTACAAATTATCAAGATGAGTATTAAATTTTATATATAATTTTATGGCATGCCCATAGGGCCACTGGTGATTATTAAACTTGTTCTTAACTTAGTACTGTTAAATTGATTATGAAACACATTGTGTAATACTGATACATTTTTAAGTTCATTATAACAATGTAAATGTGTATTTTATTTTTTTATTATGTCAGAAAATGTATTTTTTTTTGTTACGCTTACTTCCAGTAAATTAATAATATTTTTTAGATAATTTTTTGTTTTCAACTTTTCGAAATACTCGCGCCCCCTAGGGGGACGCGCCCCACAGTTTGAGAAACACTCTGCCTTAGACAAAAGAAAATAACAATTAAGAACTAAGAGTTTTAATAAAATCTTAGGTAACACGAACACAAAATCGCAAACCGCAGTTATTTTGATGTAGAAGGTTTCATAAAATCAAACAGCGTAGTTTGACCTACTCAAAGATTTTCTTTTTCTCCAGCAAAATTTCCTCGTAGCATGCTAATAATCCCCCCCTTGTTTTGTTGAAAAAATACGCTCTTCGTTAGAGCGTACTTAATTACTAAAATTTATAAATTTCTAAAATTTATAACCCTTTTCCATTTAAACGGGACTTCTCTCAAATTTCCAACTGTTTTTCGATCTTCTGATCAAACTGGGTTTAAAGACTCAAGTTCTTCAATGCCTTGCATTTCCATGAGCTCATCAATTGTCAGCTCCTGATTGCGGGAATACAGCAGCTCTTGTGTGTGAACGTCACCACTATCCACTATTAAATTTATTTTCCTGGCAAGATCGACAACTTCTTCAATCACATTACCGATTTTTTTTCTTTCAGAAACAAAAGACGAATTGACGAGATTTGAAAATCGCGCAGCTCCGGGTGCGCGTATGTCAGTATTACTGTATGTAATTTTCCTTAAGGCTGTCTTCGGCTAATGTTAAAGAATAGGACCCGTATCGGAATATTGTTTCAAATATAAAAGCACTCCAACATTAATATTATATATTCTAGCTTCACTATCCTGTAGAGAATCACTTATTTAATCATACTACTCATTTTTATCCGAGTTAACTCATTTTTTCTGTTATAAAATGTGTTTCGCATTTTTCTCCTATACTGTAATGCTAAATGAGCTATCCCTTTACACGTTAAAAGCAAAAACTGATCATTTTTTAAATATTTTAAAATTCTAAAAACACTATATTTTAAACAAATGCATGCGTTACAATTTCACAAATTTTTATAAAGATTGAGGCCTTTTTTCTGTTCGAAAATGTGCTCCGTGTTGAGTTCACATTGTCGTGCATATGGCGAAAAGAGGCTTTATTTCTCATTCTTGTGAATGCATCAAGTTTTTAATAAAGACATTTTTTTTCCATATAAGATAATTCTTCTCTTAAAAATTAAGATCTTATGGATCTTTGTGATTTCCAAGCGAATTTTTTCCTTTTGCATCAATTTCTTAAATCAGTATAAATTAAATTTTTTTTATTAATATCCATACAATGAACTTTTTTTTAATTGATCATATTAAGATTAAAACCGTAGCCTGATAATAATAATAATAATAATAATAATAATATAATAAAAAAAAAGATTAGGCCAAATTACACGAAAAAACTAAATCAGAAATTCTCAAACTGTGTTCAACCCTCTGGGGAAGGAAGGGGCGTGTTTAGCCTACGTGGAGGGCACGAGCATATCAAAAAGTCGAAAATTAAAGATTATTTTAAAAAAATTATTAATTTACTGAAAGGTAGTAAATTAAAATACATTTTGACATAATAAAAAATAAAATGCACATTTAAACTGATATAATATACTTATAAATGTATCAGTACTGCACAATGTATTTGACAATTAATTTATCAATACTAAGTTAAGAACAAGTTTAATAATTACTCTTAACTCTCGCATGGAGCTTATCATATACATAACTGTATATGCGAAGTTTTATACAAAATATTTATCTTGATAATTTGTACGGTTTATAATTAAGGTCGTATATTGTAGCTTTATTGTCAAAATATATTACTATTGCATTCAATACATTGTTATAACATGGGAAAGGGAGATGAAAATTATGATTGAAAATTGGGTCCTAGATATTGAAAGTTTGAGAAGCACTGTATTAAACTTGACAACTGTAAATATCTGACTATAGCTATTTAAGGTATCCGACTACGTTCAGAACCGTAATTTTAAAAAATGGATAATTTTCATGATATTTAGTGTCACTTAGATTCGAATACATGTATAAAATTGTTTTAAGGACACATTTTGACAAAAAAAAATATTTAAATACAATATTTTGGCAAAAAATTAACTTAGAATAATCTTTTTCCAAATGTTCTCCTTTTATAAAAAAATGCTTCAAAAATAATATTTCGCGCTTATATAAAGTAAAGACTTCTCCAGAGATTCTAAACTAGGAATTTTGAAAAATTCACATTATTTTCAGAGTTACCACCCATTGAAATATAATTATCGGCGTTTTTTTCTTAAAATTGCTCCCTCTGTGTTGTCGTAAAATACGGATAAACCCACTTCCAAGCTATATATTTCAAAAATTCTAGTTGAGCCTCTGTAGAGAGGTCTGAGCTATATACATGCAAAATATTATTGTAATAGAAGCAAGAATAGATCCAAAATTTGAGATTTCATTTACCATTTACCGACGCGATTTGCAGTTACTAGAAAACCTTTTTAATTACAAATATCCAAGTGAAAATTCCACACTTTCTCACCTAAGACCCGCAACCTTACAAATCACTTCCAATACCGCTCTAGCGTGAATACTTTTTAAAAAAATGACACTGACCTCTCTACATCCAAATAAACGTGGTTTCAATTACATTCAACTTTTCATTAGCTGTTAATTGAGAAATTACGAAAACACATCACTTACGGCCCCCTTTCTCACCCGAAAGAGAAATGTTTACACGTGAGATCCGTTATCACGCGACCCCCGTCACGATATCCGTCACGCACGTCACTCTGCGATTATCGCTCTGAAAAGGATCTCGGATCGGATTCCTGGTCGAGTCCTTTTCACTTAATTAAAAAATGAGTCGGTTTCTCCTTTTGCTGCAACCAGCAAACCGACCTCGAACAATCTGGAAGGACGACTGGGTCCCAAGAGCGGACCTAATTTGGAAGGACCGCTTTGTGAAAGTACTTAAGTTTTGGTTTTCCTTTAAGTGAAGCAATTTATGACAAATGATGTGAAGAGTATCCACAGAATTTGGTTGAAAATTAGAACATAGATAGGGAAACATTTAACTATATAAATACATGATTTAAGCAGAATATTAAACACGTAATATAAAAAAAAATTTAAAGTCAATTCCTACTTATGTCAACAAAGAACAATTTCATTTTAGCTACTTTTTATTAAATAATTACAATTAATATATAAATATGTATATACATGTGACAGAATCACAATATTAAGTGGCAAAATAAAAAGAGTTTTTTTCTTGCAATTTTCCTTTCTATATATGCTATTGGATTATTATTTTTGTTTGTGTTACAATTTCTTCATTCATAAATCACATTCTCAAAAATTAGGCTTTCCCAAGTAGGATTCGAACTTACGACCTTTGAATTATAGAAGTCCAACGCGCTATCCATTGCGCTACAGGGAGACAGCGAAAGATTTTCTTTTTTATGTATGGTGTTGCGCTATTATATATTTGCTACTATTTATTACAATCTTTTATTTAACTTGCAATGTAATTTGTTTGGGTGAAATATATTGCAACTCAATTTTGAAGCTGATGTCTTCAACCGATTAAGCTGAAACTTTGCATACACGTTTAGTTTGGATGTCAATGCATGTTTTGACCATTTATATTCCGATATCGCAATTAATTAAAAAGATATTAAAAACCTTTTAGCCCTGTTAGCTTTTTATTCTGCCGAGTCTTATCGGACTGAGCTTAAAGAAGTTCCGATTTTTCGAGCGCATTTAAATAAAAGCTTGTTTTTAAAAGTTTTTTTACACACTTTAAATTTATTTATTAAATAAGTTAAAAGACTATAATGAATTAATATTTGAAAAAACTGTAATGACATCAAGTGTCCTCCCCTACAAGTTTAAAAAAATGTATTTGAACTTAAATGGATAAATAGAAAGTATTTTATTAACGATTGAAAATTTGAGCTATATATGGGGAGAGTGAACTAATAGTAGGAATTGAATGCACACACATGAAAAAGTTTGAATGGGTTGATGAGGTTTAGAATGTGTGAGTTAGTTATTGGAGAGGAAAATTTACATAGACGAAAATTTTAAAGCTTAATATTTATAAATAATGTAATAAAAATGAGATTCAATAGTTAAATATAATTTATTTTATTGGCAGTTCATGCATCTGGTGTCCATTAACTCTCTATCAATTGAAAAATCATTTAAGCATTAATAAAATTCGCCTTAATGTATTAAAAATACACTAAATATATACATATACAAGTATCAAATCAATTAATAAAATTTAATTAAGCGCGTTGAATTTAAAATTTCTACCCCATTTTTTTTTTATATAGAACAATTTCAAGGTTATCAGTTCAGTTCAGTTCAGTACAGTGATAACATTAAAAATAAGCTAAAGCCATGCCCATATTTTATGGATTAGACTTGCTTAAGTTTTGTGGTTAGTGATTGCACTGTCTTATCAGTATTTTTTAACTTTCGCCTTGTGTTTTAACTAAAATGAAGGGAAAAGGGGAAAACTTTAATTGAACTTTGAATTTTTGGTTTTGTGATGTTAAATTTTCAATTTTTTAACTTGCTCTATTGTTTTCATTTTGCTATTGAGGAATATACCTTTTTTCGTGGTTGGATATAAAAATTTTTAAAAATTTCACGCTGTGATTTGTATTTAACACAGTTTAATATAAAATGTTCACCTTTTCTGGTATTACAATCCAAAAAGGAGAATTTGTTTAAAAAGGGAAATAAATATCATTTAATGGTAATTTTTTAGCCCAATTTTTGAAAAACTTCTGTATTTCTATTTTTTGCGCCTTTTTTCCCACTTTTCAAGATGAAAATAAATATAATTTTATGTTTTTTTCCCTTTTTTTCCCATATTTCTTCTTTTTTACTTTTGTTTTTTTTTGAAATATGTATTAAGTTTTCCCCCAAGAAATAAGGGAATAATATTCCACGGTTTGGAGGCTTTGTAATTTATCAACTTCTTCATTAATTTTTTTTCCCTTTTTGTGACTGGTACCCAAATGAATGTTTGTTGAGCTATTTAGGGGACTCATTTAGGTTGAATTTAAATTTAATATTATCGTATTGGATTTTCTATTAATATTTTATACTTTTAAAAACGATGTGTCCATTAGGATGAATTTTTTTTTCTGTTTCCAGTGAATTTTTAACGCAGCCATATGGCTATAGCTTCAGCGGGAATATTAAAATTATTTTTTTCAAAAAAAATTTTGACGAACTTTTTTTTTGGGGGATTAAAATTCATTGACGGATTAAAATTTTTTTGAACCATCTGTTCTAAAGATATTGTTACTAAATTTTGATTGAATGAATCATTAAACATATTTTGTATTATGACACCCGGAAAATCCTTGTTTTGAAATGGTATTTCATGAGTATAGTTTTTTATTTTTTGATTTTCATAGATTGGGGGGAAGGGATCATGGAAAAAAAACCATTTTGATATACATAGTTCTTGGGAGGTTAAAATTTTTTTGAAAAATACTGATATTTTTTTCCCCTATATTTAAAAAAAAATATTTTTTTTAAAATTTTTTGGAAAAAAGAAAATTATGACCAATATTTCCCACTCATAGATTTGCTCTTAATAAATCTAAGGGGGTTTTTTCTTGGGGCCTGGGGTAAACGTAAGGAAAATTATAAATCAGTTCTAATTTTTGTCTGTTGGTTTGTGAAAAAAAAAAAGTTACCCATAGTCAAAAATAGAACTTTGGATTGATAATATTTAAAGATGATCAATCTTTTTCTATTTTCGGAGAAGAAAAGGCTTTAATGGCTTTTAAAATTTTCCTTTTTGACGAGGAATTTTGATTTTTTCCGGTGATAGGGGCGAAAGATTTCCCGGTTTTTTTTAAATTCTTCACTTGGGGAATGGGTTTTGTGCTATTTAATGGATATTTGCTTCTTTTTTGGGTTGATTAGGCTGTTTTTTTCGGGAAAGGGGTAAATTTTTTTTACACCAGACGAAAATTTTTGTTCTTGCATTTTGCCTATTGTTTTTTTCCCAATTTACCGCTAGTGTATAAAATATGTCATCCGCGTAAACAAGAAGATGGTGCGGGAATTTCAAATATATCTGCCAGATAAATCATAAATAGAAAAGGACTTAAATTAGCCCTGGGTCACCATAATTTTTTTAGTGTTTTTTTAAAAAAATTTTTCCCTCCATTTAATTTGAATTGTTCTCTGATGGAATTTTTGCATCCATCGTATCAATCAAAGGTTTCCCAATTTTTTTTAATTTAGAAACAAGGCCATTTCCCCACATTGGTTTGCGCTTTAATATCAATGTTTCAAAATAAAATTTTCCCTTTGGTTCTCTAGCCAGTATAAATTCAGGAAAAAGAATGTATTAATGCTGCTTCTAGAGGAAAAAACCATATGAAAATAAAAAAATTTTTTTTTAAAAACGAAATTAACATTCTATGGGAATCGTTCTTTTTTTAATTTGGCAATTACTGAAGAAGAGATAAGGAGGTAAAAAATTTCCTTGGGATTTTTGTTTTTTTGGGTAGAAAATTCGTGGGGGTCAATTTTTTTGGAATTTGACAAGACCAACTTCAGTAAAAAATTCAGGAAGATTTATTTTTGATAATGGAATTGGGGAAATTTTTATCCCCCGGGACGGTTTTTTTTTTGATGAGATATTGTATTTCAAATTTTTTTAAAGGGAAAGGGTTTTTAATATTTTATATTGCCCGGAATATAGTTTTAATACTATCGTTGTTTTTTTTTTGCGTAATAAAAAAAACAGCTTTTTTGGATTTTCGTTTGTTATATGGTTCCATTATTTAAATAATATTAAATGGAGAAAGTTTGTTTGTTCTATTTTTGATTTTTCGGATTTTTTTTGAAAAGAACTTTAAGAAGAGATTTTTTTTCATGTTTTTGGGCCAAAAATTTTTTTGGGGGTTTATTGTTTGTTTTTAAATTTTACGCTTACTTTTTATATTTTATCCGCTTTTTTTAAAGTTTTTTTTTTGCTTTTTGGGGTTTTTTTTTCTCTTAAAGTCCGCTCTTTCCACCATGGAGCTCTTTAACTGATCTGGGTTTTTTTTGGTTCTTGAATAAAAATTTGAGCATTTTAATTTCTTCTATAATATTTATATTTCGTTTTCATTTAAATTTAACGTTGAATGATATTGATAAATTTTTTCCCAAATTTTTTTTTTTTAAAATTATTTGTTGTGAGCTGTTTGTTCTTTTGTAATTATTATAGGGAAGTGGTCACTTTCCAAAATTATCGGGTTTTTTGGAACATAATAAATCGTAATTTAAATTTATAGATGCTAAAAAAAAGATTTTAGAAGAAAAAAAATTCCCCATGAATGGAGATAAGTTGGGGTTTATCTTAATAATATTAAATCATTTTTTAATAATCAAATCAAAAAAACTTTTTTTAGAAGCATTGGAATTTTTGATCCCCCTATCTCGAGATGCTTTAAATCTCCCAATATCAAACTGTGATTATCAATATATGATGCTATTTTTTAAAATTGACTTTGCCCGGTGGGATGTATATATTAAAAAATTTTGTGATAGGAAGTATCTATCTGAACTTTGACTATTAAAATTTCTAAGTTTCCTAAAATTCCAAGGGAAAATTTTACTGGGTAAAATTTTTTGTTTAAAACTATCATTAATCCTCCCCTTTTGATTTCTCGTCTTGGAATATATTCTTATTGGGGAAATTTTGAAAAATCATTGGGTGTAACCAAGTTTCTTGAATTTTTAAAATGCTTGCTTTTGAAAATTGGGGGGAAAAAAATATTCCTCTTGTTTTAAATTTCCAGTGCATTCCATCGGTTAATTCATAATTTAAAGGGAAAAAAAGGGATAAATACGAATTAGTTTAAATGTCCAAAAAAAAAAATTTAATATTGAATTTTTTTGGGGAATATAAAAATTTTATATTTAAGTTTTTTTTTTTTTGTTCTAACCCAATGTATTTCCCCCTCGGTTCTGATATTTTTTTGAGTCTTTTTGCTTTTCATTCGTTTTTCATTTATTAGATAATCATCTTTGGTTGTTTTATTGGATGCAACTTTTTTTTTAAAGGGGGTTCCATGGTATTCATTAAGGAGGGAAAAACTCAAATTTTTTTGGTACTACTATTTAGTTCTGTCGTGAAATGCTGTATTATTTGTTCTAATTTCTTTTCAAATATTTTTTGTTTTCTTCAAATTTCAATTCTAATTTTGAGATTTTTTTTGTTTTTTATTTTTTTTGTTTGTTTTTGTATGTTTTGGTTGGTTGATGTTTTTCTTTTTTTTTTGGAATTTTTTTAATTTTCTTCGTTTCTCGAGATTTGTTGCTGTACTTTAATTTTAAGATTTCAATTTGTCTTGATATTTTTTTCAAAATTTTTGAGTTGGCTTCATGCACTTTTCCCCAAGAGCTACATTT